TATACGCCAAAAGAATTAGTGGCTTAATTATCAAAATATTTATGTATGAAAATAAAAGAAGTAATCTAAATTGCTTTTATTAAAAGAAAATTGGTTTTATATTGATCAAGCGGCAATGACTGCAGTTTTAAAGACAGCTTATATGGTAAACTGATGGTGCTTGCGTGTGTGAGAGAACAGAGTTGGAAAGTGAATCAGCTTTGAGTTAGGGATTTCTGCTCTAAAAGAGGTATGATGTTTGAATACAAAAGCAATTTTTTAAAGAAGCAAAAGAAACGAGAGATTTATGTTATGATTTTTATAAACCCACACATTCACTTTTATCACATAAATCTTGCAGACTTTCTAACTGCAGGTATACACATAAATCTAATCGTCACAGAAAATTCCTAAATGAATTATTGCATCTATTTTTTTATATGATTTATTGGATTTATTAAAGAATTTTATTAAAGAAGAAACATATGTATATTTGTTGCAGGTATTGTTGCGATTATAAAAAAATTTGCGATTTTACGATGTAATAATAGTTGATTGAAAAATATAAATCTGATACATACAGGGTGTTCAGAAAATCGCCCACGATACTTCGAGATATGATTTGAAATCCAAAAAGAAGAAAAGAAGGCTATACATATAAACATACGTTCGGAAATAAGTTTTCGAGTTATGATCACTTTTATATATGTTAAAAAAAATTGTAATTTACTTTTCATAATCACGATCATAATTTATTTCATAGTGTTTTAACATAAATAATTACATGTCGGATTATTTTGGCGTTATTCAGGATGCACCAGAAGTGGAAGCATAGTCCGCTTTGGCATTCTTCTTTTATTTTTTTTTATTAAAAAATTTTTTTATTTTACTCTAATTTATTCTAGTAAATCCCTTACAGTTAAATTATGTAAATAAAGATATATAGATTATATAAATAACTACGTACATAAATACGTATTAGAAACAGCGATTGATCGAAATGCAAGATTAATATATTCGCAACGATAAAAAAATAATATATGTACTAGACGAAAACATTTGTGATTGTGTTTATTGAACTTTTTACGTTTGTATATCTGTTTAAAGATGCGGCATGCTTGAAAATCTCAAAGGAATCGTCATTCTCGAGATCGTTAAATATCACAAGTTGCTTGGAAGATAATTACGAGAATATATGTGTAGGAAATAGGGGAAAAAGGGAAGAGAAAAGGGAGCGATACGCTCCTCGATTGACATGATTTTCCACACATGACTTCCGGCAATATTAAATATTCATTTGCGGGGTTATTCGCGGAGTTACTTTGCGTGTCCATGTCCACATCCATATTAATCCGTTTGTTCCACTTTCGTTAAGTGCGTTTGGGAGATTAATTTTCAATCATTATTATTATATCGATTGTCGATTACCACAACGAGTCGTAAAATTATTAATTCGACTACACATTATGGGAGAAGAGAGAACGGATTTTATTAGCGACATTATGTCCTAGTGGAAGAAATAGAAAACTTTTTAAAAATTTAGTAAGTTTTTTTTATCCTTCTCTACAAAATAATTTTATGAAATAATTTATGAGTAATTTCTTTTTTTTTTGCTATAAAAATTGCATCTATTTTGTATTAGATATTATTAAAAAATTGCTAAAATTTAATAATTATCAGATTTTGCTGGAGCATCTAAAAATTTAACCAGATACATATCTAATAATAATTTTGTTGGACCATCAAAATAATTATATAAGACACTTGGTTGCTAGAATGTCAAAACTTTTTGTGGCATTAGTCATCGTGATTGAAATCCCTATCAACTTTAAATTCATAATGTTAAGTTACATCCAATTTGAATTATTTCTGTAAGTCGCTACTGCTACTACTCAATATGTTAATTTAACTAAAGCAATAGAGTTAAACGATTTAATTGAATAAAATGTATTAAATTTGACTCAAATTTAGTTCATTATTTACTAAGTGCATACGTTAATCTGGACGTCCGATATTACTTTGAAACTAACAGAAATGGATTGATTTGTATTTTAACATACGGAGGTTAAAAATAACAAAGTGTTATTTAACTCACAAGATTGGTTGCCATTACTCCTTTGATATCTAACAGTGATATACGTAATTATTTTGATGGTTCAACAAAATTATTTTCAGATTTGTATCCAGCTTTCAGTAAAATCGTTCTTTTTTTTTTACATATTATGTATCTTGATCCAATCTATTTCCTTAGTGGACACACAGCTGGTTGATGACCTCCACTTTCCAATTGTCCTTCAACATATCCTTCTCAATGTCTACTGCCATACAGTCATTCATGCGCGTGCGCCGGACGTGCTGATGGAACACTTAAATATTCCAGATAAGGACGTGTTATCGCGATTATTCGCTTTAAAATGGGGTTTTCCTCGCGTGTAGGGGGTCAACCGTGATCGCCATTCATGCCACAGCGGGAGGTGTCGTCGGAACCGTTTCTCGGCCACTTTTTGCAATCATTTCTGTGTGCACATCACATAAGATAGATCGATCGACTGGTGGCCGAAACTCTCGTAAAACCAGTGGCGAATTTAAAGATTCTGTAAGTCGATAATCGCAGAATCTATAAAGAATTTTTGGATAAAAATAATTTTAGTATTAAAAATGAAATAAAATTTTTAATTTTAGTATTTTCGAATTAAAAATAATTTATCACACCATTATTGCCATTAAATATGTTTACTTTTTTATATCTTATAAGATATAAATATTTTATAAATATTTAAAAATGAAAACTCGAAGAAGAATCACAGAATCCGAAGAAATATATTTTAGAAACGATATTTTTAGAATTATTGCATTTTGAAAATTATAACGAAAAGTAGGACGAGATATGTGAAACAATAAATTTTACATATCCTTAAATACAAAATATATGTATATAATATAAAGAAGAGAGAATTTAAAGATTCTATGTAATTCAAGTACGAATATATTATATTTTTCAAGAAAAGTAAGGCTAATCAGAAACGGAAAGGAAAGAGATTATAAGAGAGAGGAAATAATTTTCTTAGATAATTGTTTATTTTATGATTACTTCCTAAAGTAAGAAAAAGGGAAACAGTTTACACACACATGTTGTGTTGGGGGGAGGGGGGGAGGGGGGGGGGAGCCTTCGTCTTTATCGGAGAGAA